CGTGGTGGTGGGTCGGGGCGGCTGCTGCGCCGGCTGTTTCTGGCTCTGGGGGTGGGAGGACGCGCGGGATTTCCCTGCCTGCTTGGTTTGCTTGGGTGGGAGGGTTTGCTGCACCGAGGAACTTGGCTGGGCCTCAGCTACTTCGTCATCAGAGCTACAGGAGGAGTCTTCATCCGTAGTGGAGGAAGAAGAAGAGCTGGAGCTCGATGAAGAAGAGGTTGATGAGGTTGAGGAAGAGGAGGAAGAAGAGGATGAAGAGGAGCTGCTGCTAGAAGAGGAAGAGGAGGAGGAGTTAGAGGAAGAGAGAGGAGTGGATGCTCTTGAGCTGGCTGAGCTGCTGTCCTGGGCTTCTCCCCTGTTCTTCTCAGCCTCCTCTTCCCCCTCTGACTCTGAGCTGCTGTCGCTGCTGTTGCTCTCAGACTCCTCCACGGCTGCTGGAGCTGCTGCCTTTTCTTCCTGGTCCTTCGAAGAAGTGAGGCTCTCTGCTGAGCCATCGAACTTTCCTCCGAAGCTGGCAGGGGAAGGATCTCCCTCAGCTGCTTTGGCTCGGGAAGATTTCTGCTTGCCCTCTGCGCCCACTGCAGGGGAATAGCCCAGCCCCAAGAGACTCTTGCTGTCTCTGCGACTGGCCAGGTTTGAGTCCTCCAGCATCCTCATCGCCTCCTTCATCTTCTTTGTCTTTGGAGACATTACGCCCTCATGGTCCAGCTTGATCAGGATTTCGTTGTCGTGCTTCCTCTGAGCCTTGACCATGGTGCCAAATTCCTGCGTTTCTTCTGTGGGCCGCCCTTTCTTGGCCTTGGCTTTTGACGCTGAAGCATCGCTGGAGCCAAAGGCCGCCAGTGTCCCCGGGAGGTCACTGTAGGGCTCCGTGCCGAGGATGCTGCCAAACACAGCAGGCTGGTAAGTGGGTTGCGGGGGGCTATGCAGCTTAGTGGAGATCTTCATTTTGCTGGCTTTTGACCGCTTTTCCTCTGTGGGGGCAGGAGAGCCAGAGCCTCCAGATGGCAGCGGTTGCGATTTTCGCGACCCCTTCATGCTTGGCTTGCCCAAGCAAGCTGGCTTCTCTGGGACTGAAGAGGTAACAGGTGAAGACTCAACCTGATCCTTCTCTTCTGGCAAGGCAGCCTCTTCTGCAGAGGGGAAGAAACACAAAGGCATGATGGTATCCATCCAGGTGGGCACTATTAGCTCAGACACAACCAGACACCAATGCTGACTGGTCTCTGACCAAGGGTGGCTTGCTCCTGACTGCTTAGGTATCCCCAAGGAGGCACAGGTCCTCACTGCTCACCAAACAGCCCTACTAAGCGGCCTGGTCTGATGCCAGCACCTGTGAGCAGCTGATGGGCAATGCTCAGTGATGCTGCTTCAGCTGCAGGGGAATCAAACTCCAGATCTCCTGCATCTTTGGCCCTACTGATGGCTGCTGAGATGCTCAGCTGAAAAAGGGACCCTGCTCTGCAGCACGGACTGACATGAAGCTCTCGCAGCGCAGGCCAGCTTCTGAGCCAGCCTCCTGCAAACCATAGCCACAGCAGGGTGAGCTGATGCCCGGATGCTCTGCACGCAAGCACTGCATCTATTCCCCTCCAAATCTTGCCCCAAGCAACAGCTCTAACTTGGGGAGGTGGTGGGGAACTGTGCAAGGACTCTCTCAACTCCAGGTCTGGCAGTGGTGACAACCTACCAGCTTTCGCCTTGATGCTTGGCTTTCTCCCTCGTCCTTTGCCTTTTGACACAGGCTCCTCTGACCCCAGTGTAGCTCCCTCTTTTCCTTCTCCAGTGTCTTTGCTGGATTTACGGCTACGGCGCTTGGTGCTGGGCACCAAAAGGGCCGGGGAAGGCTCAGCACCTGGAACAGGTCAAAGAGATGGTCAAATGCAGTCAAATAACACGTAAAACAGAGATGTGATAGAGGGAATGTACCCCTACCAATTCTGCAATAGGGACTGGGCCTTTTTCCCTATAGGTTATATCCCACCCCAGCTCTGCATGTCCATAATTGATGGTGCAATCTTTGTGATTGGAAGTCTGTGAACTCGACCCAAAATCTCAGAGACAGGTAGCCTGAAACTCCCTACATTTCACAGTGGGAAGTGTCATGCAAAAAGCAAGACTCACACTGGATCTTGTAGTCAGGTGGGAGAAGCCGAATGTGAGACAGCGGGATACGTCCCGTGTCCCCATCATCAAACTCTACTGTGATGAGATCACCATCTTCTTCCAGATCCAGGGCTCCTGTGGGTTGCAGGAGCAGAAGATGGGATTAGGGACAAACATCAGAGTACAAACCCCTTGTCACAGAAGTGGGGACATGAGGGGAAGACAGGGATCCTGCACCAGGTCCAAAGCATCCCATCCTCACCTTTCCTAAGCTTTCCTAGCACAGAAGGCTCACTCTGCAACAGAAAGTCCCTGATGATACTAAGCCAGCCCACCCAGTGTAAAATTACCCATCCAGCAGCACTGCTCCAGACCATAACAGCCATTCCAGTTTGACTTCCCACCTCTTTCCACTATTTCCCTCTATTCTTGCAGAAATTTACTTCTCTGTTTTCACAGCAGTATCTTTTTTTTTTTTGACCTGCATTTTGTAACTACTCTCAGCAATCACATGCTGCTACTTTTCAATGTCTCTCCAAGAGAAATAAGCTGTGTCCCACTCTCTCTTCTTGCATCAGCATCACTGGTCTATAACTTGTAATTAATTCTTCCCTCATGCCACTGTAGTGCAACCAAGAGCCCAAAAGCAAGTCCAGCCATGGTAGAACTGTCCAGGGCTCTTCACTGGCTTTTTAATGGGACCAGATGGGGGAGTTGATGTGTCAGAGGCAAAGCTATGAGTGTGCAGGTGATTTGCAAACCTCTACAACCTCAGAAATCTTCTGGTGCCTGGAGCTAATTCTGACTTTTTGAAGTGTGTTGAATTGCGCTAGTATTTTAAGATCCTAAATTGCTCAGACCTCTTCCTACAAGAGCACATCTTCTGGACTAACAGGATGTTACTAAAGCAGCATCATGACTGAGCTGGGCATGACCTGGAGGAGAGGAATGGGCCAGGCTCTGGTCTCCAGGACACTTGCAGCAGACCTCAAGGCTTCCCCAGACAAGCCTGGCATCCCTCAGGACATGTAGGACTGACACATCCCTGGTTCACAGCGCAGAGCAGCCAGGGTGGCCTTACCTCGGACAACTGTCCCTGGGTAGAGGCAGCGGTACTGCTGGCTCCAGTAGGCTGCAATCCTCGTGCCCTCGGGCAGGAATCGCACTGAAGGTGGTTTCACATCGATGATCTGCTCGGGGCAAGAGGAAGGCAATTACCGACGATCTTGGCACCAGCACAGACCATCCCACCACATCTGGCATGTAGAAAAGCAGCTCTGGAGAAGTCAAGGGACAGTTTCCCGGCTGGGAAATGGCCTCCTGCCTGCTCACAGGGCAGCGTGAAGGACAATCCCTGCTAGCATACAGGCCTAGTGCCCACTGCCAGTGGGGGAGCTCAGCCATGGGGCAGCGACCCACACCAAGGGGAGCTCTGCCCAGACTGGCCTCAGAGGCAGGACCAGGGCATCCCTGCAGCCCCAGCTGTGGGAGGAAGAAGCTTCCAGTCAGCCTCCTCCACCCAAAACCAGGGCTCAGGCACCGAGGACAGGCACCCTTTGGCTTCAACATACCGCTTCCTGCAAGAGCTGCTCCAGGCAGTAAATGTGAGGACGGTTTCCTCTCTCACCTTCCACCACCACACGGTATCTGAAACACGAAGGCCCAGTCAGACACGGCAAGTGGAAGACATCACCTTGTTCAGCTAACACCTCTCTCTGAGCCCTACCAGCAGTTTATTTGAGAGCATTTAATGAGAGGTAACTGGATTTTCCTCAGTGCTGATAAACCAGAGTGAACTCTCCTTCCCTCCCTGCCAGACTCTGTCAGTCTCTCTCCAGCCAGCTCTGCAGAACCCCCAAAGCGATCCCTGCATCAGCTAGGTCCCCATTCACCGGCAGAGCCTGGGTGGATTTGGTAGCCCCTCGACTCACATGTCTGGTGAATGCACTGTCTTGACATGCCCAGCATAGAGCAGCTTGTCATCCATGGGGATGAGGACACGCAGACCATCTTTCAGCTCATCCTTGTCAATTATGCAGGAGCGGGGAGCTGTGAGGTGTTGGAGTAAGATAGGGATTAGAGAGCACCACACATGAAAAAGTAACAGCGAGGGGAGAAAGAAACTTCATACTCCCAGCATCACCCTCCCTTGGGAAAAGACCAGTAAGCCCTTTGCAGAAGGGGCGCTCTCTCTGGCTAGCTCCTGGCAGAGGGAAAATTTTGCCCTCTTGGTAATAATAAAACATCCCCCCTCTTGGTAATAATAATACACCAGTAAATGAAAATAGGGCAGCTCAGAGACTGGGCTTCATCTAGATGTCACAGTGAGCCACTCTGATAAGGCTTGGTTTTGGCAAGCCAAATTGACTGGAAAATGGTATCTTCACCCCAAGGACTTGGCTTTGGGTGAGGAATGTGTGAAAGCAGCACAGTCCTCCTCTGAGCAGCCCTGGGAAACCTGCCCAGCTCCTCTACCTGTACAATTAGCCCCCCAGCCCCTCCTGCCTTTACCTGGTGTGGGCGGTCGCTCGACCAGCATGCTCAGTGGGATGTTCTCATCCTCTGAGAAGCTGCTGTCTTGGTTGGGTTCAAAATCCTCCTCTGCTGCCATGCTCTCCATGAGCTTGCTGACAGCTCCTCCTTTCCCTCGGTTCTGCAGGACAGCAAACAGCACATCAGCTGGATGACAACAGGCAAAAGTCTGATCCCATCTCACCTTCCTCCAGCAAGAAATAACCTGAGGATATTGGGACAAACTTGTCTCCATCTTCAGGAATGTTAATCACAGAGAGTTAAGCGGGTGTACCCAAACTTGCTTTTTGGTTGAACAAAGACCTTTGCTTTTCTGGGTTTATTCCCAAGCAACACTGACAGCTGACCAAAAGCTATTTCACACACCCTAGCCACATCTCACTCCTGGAGGTGAGGAGAGATGCCGTGGAGCAGACAGCTGTAGCTTTGCTCTGCACCCACCACCTCTCTGCAGAGTGTTCCTGAGACCCTGTCTTCACTGAACAGGCAGCCCGCACTGTTCCTATTTCTTCTCAAAGCCCCCCGATCCATTTCTTGCTGTTACACACAGACCATAAGTATTAGACTCAGAAATCATGTGAGAACATGCAGTAATGTGTGTTATCAGAGAAGACAGGCTACAGCAATGGAGCGGAAACCAGTTGTGACCTGGTTCATCCCGTGTTGAGCAAAGCAACACCATCACCACCTCCTTGCTGTCCATGAAGGCTCTCTTTCCACCCTGTGGCGGCCTTAAGAGAAAATCCCGCCTGCTCATTAATTTGGGGAATGAAGGCAAACGAATGCCAGATGGTAGCAGCAGGTACTACCTGATAAGTCTTCCTTGGATTTTAGGCTTCTCAAAACAGCATTTTGCCTGTAACACACCCAGCAAAACCTGCATGTCTGTTTTCCCTCCCTCACATTGCATCAGTCCAGGAAAAGAAGAGGGCTCTGCCAGCCACACTCGAGTTCACCCAGACTAGAACGAGCCCCTCACCTCTTTTTTCACCTCCTTGGCTTTCACCTTGGCTTTGCTCTTCTTGGTGGAGCCCAAGGCATTTGCCAGGCTGACACGAACATCAGATGGGGAGCTAGGGATGCCAGGAGGAGACATGGACGAGGAGGAGGAGCAGCAGGGTGTTTCTTTACCCTTCTTCCGCTGCTAAAAATAAAAAGAAAATGCTCCCACCAGTAAAGAGAGGATTGGTAAAGATCTGGGCCCAGGGCAAGGGGAAAGGTGGAGCAAAGCAGGCTGTGCACAGGTAGCATGATGTCCAGCCAGCACTGACCACACCACGTCCTGCATCTCCCAGCTCTGCTTTCAGGCTTCTCACACTTTTGGAAGAACTTTTCATTACCCTGGAGAGCAATTCCTGCCCATCAAACCTTCCCCCAAAATTGCTCCAAGAAGATCCCAGCTGGCCTCATGTCACAACTAACTTGTCTAACTCTCCCCACAGTCAGTGCTCCTCCATAACACTGTCATGAATTGAGCCAGAGCCAGAGGGAGC